GAGGATGCCTGTGGCAGGCAGGTGACACTCCAGGCTTCACCATGCTGTGGCGCACAGCCCCACTGCAGTCGCCCCACCGTATGTTTCTACACACATGCGCATGCACACACACACACACACACACACACACACACACAAGCGTATCCCTCTTTGATCTCCAAAGGACACTCCATTTACAAGCTCTTAATCGCTGCTGTCTTTTTGGGGCCTGTCCTCTGAAGTCCCGAGTAATGGGATTTGGCGCCTCTGATCCATCTTGGGCTAGCCGCTCCCCATTATAGGTGGGCATTTTTTTCCTTTTTTTTTCTTTTTTCCTTTTATTTTTCTTCTTGACAAAAATGTCTCTTAAACCTCACTGACTTGACATGGCTTGTCACCTAGCCCTGAGAGTGGAGGCTGGGAGAGGGGCAGGTGGCCCTTATGCCAAGGGCTTCCTGGCCAGTTGGGGGTCTTTGATGCTGCCTCCATGTGAAATCTAATGTGAAAGACATTGAGAGCGATTTTCGGGACCATGGTGCGGTGGATTCATTCTGTCTCATGCTGTTTCCTTTGTCTCTCTTCCCATGACCCTTCCTTGGGACATTGGGGAGAGGGTCTCAGGGTGAGAGTGCGAGTATGTGTGTACGTGCATGTAGGGTACAGAGGGCAGGGCCTCTGCCATCAGAACAAAGGGCAGCAGGGAGCATGTCCACCTGTCTGTCTGTCCATCTGTCCGTCCATTTGTCCGCCTGCCCACCCTCCCGGCTTACCTCACCTGCCTGGCTCTGTGTGCCTGCTGGCGCCCCACCATCCCGCAGTCCGCCATGATGGGCTTGGCAGTCCGTCTGAGCACTTTCATCCACTCCAGGAAGCGAGTCCTGCTCTTGGACACTGTGTGGCTGGGAGGAAGCGTGACTCTAGGCTGCAGCTCAGGCTCCCACCACCGATTGGCTGAGGCAGGGACCAGATGACGGGCTCCGGAACCCTATGGTAGCCATGGCAACCAGCCCCTTTAGATACCGCCACCCCCAAGCCACTCCTGACAGCTGAGGAGGGAGCAGGCAGTGCTGCTGATGGGTCCACATCAGGGTCCCCTCAGAGGGTTGGGTCAGGCATGGCTGGATGGTGGCTGTTCCTGTACCAGTTAAGTGTTTTCATGTATGTGTGTGTTTCATCAATGTCCAGTATGCAGGGTTGCTGTCCCTTCTCAGGACAGGTCCCAAACTGCTCCATACTCTGCCTTACCCCCTAGTGGAAGCTGAAACAGTGTCCTTGCAGCCCCTGCTAAGAGGAGGACTTCAGGTCAGGCTTGCCTCAGGGGCTGAAGGCCAGGCCTAGTCTTGTGAGAAAATAATGGGTAAGAGCAACAGGAGGAATAGCAGGAGGAACTGCCCTTTTGATCCATTTCAGACTCCAAAGAGCCAGCCAGCTCTCTCTGCCTGCCAATCTTTCCTCCAAACTCTCATTAGTCTGTTGAACACACAAACACACTTACACAGTCCCCTCTCAGCCTTCAAAGGCCCAGCATGGCTTTGCTGCCCACAGACCTTGTCTCTCCACCTGCAAGACTCTGGGACTTCAGTCACACTAAGCAGACGCTCTACAACCTTGTAGAAATTGGCCACACACCCATGACCTGCACCCCAGGCCACTTGGTGAGGCCTTTCCACGTGTCTCAAGCCCAGGACTTCTCAGCAAGGGTACAACACAGCATCATTCCTGGGTGTTGCAGAATATCATCTCTGTAAAGACCCTGGCCTGTCCAAATGCTCCTGGGACTGAGCACCACTTGGTCAAGGCCCCCATGAAGGCCATCTGAGAGCCCAGCTTCCTGCCCCAGGCCCAGCCCACACCTACTGAATACAAGGTTGCCTAAGGAACAGCTGCAGGGCTCCAAGGAGCAGGTGTGAACCTCAAACCCCTGAAAGAGGCCAGGACTGAGGCACATCCCTAGGGGCTCAGAGGCTGTTGAGGCTACTGCCTAGGCCAGAGGATCCAGGAGCTAGAGAAAGCCTAAACAGGGACTAACAAGGTTTACACATCCAAGGGAAGGGACTCAGAGCAGGCCAGGCTGGAACCAGAGCCAAAGGGCAAAACAGTCGCTTCAGCAGCCCCCTGAACTTGCTCTCACACTTCACACTGGCCCCACTCAAGCTGCCCAGTCACAATATTGAGCCCCTAGCTTTGAAGAGATTCCCTGCAAAGCAGGACACCACCAGCAGATAGGTCTTACCCAGGTGTAAGGCCTGGGACAGCTGACAGGGGTAAAGGGTCTAGGTCCTGGAGCTCCTTTCTGGGTGTCAGGGTAAGCTGAGGTATCTGGTGTGCTGTGGCAGAGTGCAGAGCAGGGCAGCACAGGGCTGAGACTGCTAAGGGGGTTGCTCTGGTCCAGGGCTCCAGGTTGGGGGCAGTTGGTGGGGGTGGAAAGAGAAGTTTGAGGGAGTCTGGAGCTGGCAGAATATTCAACAGGGTGGCAGTGGATGGTGAAGGTGGAGATGGAGTCCAAGCCCAGGCTCAGGGAATGGCAGATGGTGCATATGGAGGGGCCTCACAGTGGCTCCTTTGAGCTTCCAGCATCCTGATGGGACTCATGGCAAGGACAAAAGTACCCGGGTCTTGCCTGCCCTGTCCACATCCACCAGCATGCAGCCAGTGCACACCAGAGCAGGACTCAGGTGACAACCCTCAGGATGAAGTTAGGAGCAGAGCCCTGAACTGGGCCCCACCCTTCCTGGAACTCAGACCCTGAATGAGACTGGACATAAACATGGTGTTGATGGCTACTCTTGTCAGTGGGCTCTACCACTCCAGTTCCAAGGGACCCCTCCCCAGCCCATAGCCACAGTGACAGCCCACAGCTCAGCTATGGCCCTTAACACTGACGCTGACTGGACTGTGCTGTCATGTGAACACTCGGGCTCAGCCACTCACTGGAAAACATGTGGATCACTGGGACTTGCCTGAGAGTTCCTTCAGGGCTGGGGAGGGTCTGACCCAGCGGATGCAGGGATAGGGATATGGGCCAGCACAGGGCGGGTCTAATTTCTGCAGGTTTGACCTTCGTCAATACAAATGACCCCCACAATCCAGGGGCTGAGGGCTGCAGGGCCTCACCGATGGGAACTAGAGGGTTTCAGAAAGATAAGGTGCATCAACAGAGGCTGGTGAAAGGTGGTTGATGGGGGGGGAATGAAGAAGGCGGCTCAGGTGGCCTGACAGGGGCCTAGAGGGGAGACTATAGGGTGCAGAGACATGTAGTCAAATGGGCTTCAATGACTCAGCTCCTGGTTCTGTGTGACGTGTGTACAGTGCGTGTCCCCCTCCCCACCTGATGGAAGGTGAAACAGTGTGATGGATCCAGCCTGCCAGGGGCCTGTCCCAGACCTGGGTTATTGTTTTATTTATGGTGGAGGATGAGTCTGTCAATCACTGAGGGCTTCCTAACCTTTGCTGGTGAGAATCTGAGGAAACAAATTGATGCTGCCTCCCTCCAGAAAAGAGATCACGTTTCACAGATTCAGGGCCAAGGCCAAACTCAGACTTGCCATCTCAGTTGAGACTCAAGTTACAAAGTGACCTGCTGAAGCCATGCTGAGTCCCTCCCACTGGGAGGCCAGCAGCACCAGAAGGCATCCTGGGCCACCCTTGTGGTAACCCCCAGGCCCTAGGGGAGCAGAGCCAGCCAGGGCTCTCACACTCTCCCCTGGCCCACCAGTGCTGATGGGGAGATCAAGCCCCAAGTTCACCCCAACGCTGAGCCAGCCCCAGGTCTGTCTGAGGACCCCAGGAATCTGACACGAGCCCTACAAGTCCTGGCAGGAGCCCCCTCTACTTGTAGCTTTTGCTGGGGTGGAAAGGTTAATGATGAGTGACTAAGAGCCAAGGTCAATGAACTGGGGACATCCAGGGTACACACCAAAGGAGGACCAAGGTGACAGGCTGAGGGGCTGGAAAGGGATCAGTTAGATTCCATCCAGGGCTGAACATGGGAACTGTGATGTGGACATGAACACGGGGAGGGCTGGCCCATCCAGAACACCGCCAATCTGCCTAGAGCCAGGGGCTGCAGTCTGGACAGCTGGGCTGGGCCATGCTGGTTCACTGGGGCAGGGGCAGGGGCGCACTTAGGGGCAGGCTGGGAATTTCAGCTTTTGGTAAAGTTTTTTAAATATTAAAAACTGTTCACAAAGTAGGGACATTACATGAGAAAGCACTGGTGTATGGGAAGCAAGAGGACACTGTGAAAGTGTGGCATTGTGACAGTGTACCCAGCAATGGACAGAGATCTCATGGACACACCCCCTCCTCTCCCCAGGGCACTGACCCCAAGGCAGGTCCTGACCCTCAATGACCTCATAAGCCTGGCACCTCTTCGCCAGTTGTTAGGACCAGGTCAGGGGAACCCCTCCCTGTGCTCCTAGGGACCTGGATGGGTCTCAATGCTGGACTTCCAGGTAAACGTTGAGACCCATTCAATGGGACAGGGCCAAGGTATCCCCAAAACTCAAAACCAGGAAGACCTCAGGGTGACTGGCCCCAAATCAAGTGTGCGTCAGTTGAGGAGGCGCACACAGGCGCAGGCCCACATGGCTGCGCTGGCAGAGCTCCTGACTCGAGGCTCTCCCTGTGAGACCCTGCCCCCTGCAGTGCCCTCCAAGGGCTCCTGCACCTCTGAGCTGGTGCGGGTGTTCACCACACAAAGGACATAACAGTAGGGACACTTCCCAGTCATCCCAGGGCAGGCCACAGCCTCCCTGCCTCTGCTGTGGAAAACATTCCAGAACAGGCAGGGACGTGCAACGTAGAGGGGCAAGCACCATCCTGCCCTACCGTAGACCACCTTCAGCGTCTCAGGATTCTCTCCCAGAGTAAAGAAAAACACCAAAATAAACCGCTGTCCCACAGCTCAGCTGGGAACCACCACCCATCTCGGCCGCATCCAGGGTCTCTGGGGCTGTGAGGTGACAGGGTCAAGGACTAAGCAGGAGAGCTCCGGTCCTCCAAGCAAAGCAGCACACACGTGACCCAGCTCAGACTTTACTCATGCTATCCCCAGACTGTGGTGAACCTGCCTCAGCTGGGCCTCCACTGCAGGGCTGGGGGGCGGCGGGGACTCAGACTATGAGAAGGCCCCAGGCCACTGGGGATCCTGGGACCAGAGGCCCATTAGGGCCTCCACAAAGTCCACCCCACCCAAAAGCTTCATAGCCAGCACACACAAGAATGGTTCACCCACTGTTCACAGGTGGTTCTTGCCACCACCCCAGATTCTGTCTACAGGTTTGCCAAAGGGCAGAAGAGTGGGGTAGCTGGGGGACAACAAGGGACACTGAGCCTGGCTATCAGGCATGGGTCAGTCACTATGTGGTCACTTCCCGCTGGCTCTCTTCTGCACCACCGCTGGCTCAGACAGTGTCTGCTGCTGAAGCCGCTCAATTAGCTCTTCCACGTAGACCTTGAACAGAGGGATGGGGTCCTACAGGGGCAAAACAGGGTCACAGTGAGGCACTCCTGGGAGGGCAGAAATCCAGATGCCTTTAGTCAAACACCAAGAGGAACTGGGCATAAGAGAACTGGGCCCCTCAGGCATGGCCACGAGGCCAAGTGAGGCTGCTTGCCACCCCTCAGGCCTCAGACCAGAGGGTAGTGCCCTGTCCGTGAGACAGGCACCACCTTCCCTTGGGAATGCAGGAATCAGGCGCCTGCCCTTGAAGGTTCCCCTGCTGCAGGGCCCTGTGGTCACAGATAAACCAAGCAGAGGGAACAGGGCAGCCAGCTGCTGCACCATGGGTGGGGGCTCTCTGTCCCAACAGCTACCACAGGCTCCACACCCTCCTAGAGGAAAGACACAAGGTCTAAAGGGGAAGACCCTGGGGAATGCTAAGTGGGCAAGTTAACCAATGGTGCCAATACTCCAGCTTGTCAGAGAGTCTTTCTGTACTGAATCTATAAAGTGGGCTGGAGGGTCAGAACCATAAGGGAAGGAAATATGCCATGTGGAATCCATAGAACTATGTCTCCAGCTGGACAGCTGTGCAGAGGCAGCTCTTTCCCAAGCCCACCTGGTGTGGCAGCCCCTCATCCAGGCTACCCATAAGGCAGTGCACTTCCCCACCCCGTCCATCTGCTTGGCTGCTGTGCCCACCCTAGAGGGCAGGGCAGCTGGCATGCACACATGCTCACCTTCTCCTCTAGAAGCCTCTGCTTCTCCACAGCTTCATCCAGTGTCAGGCCAACCCACTCAGCCTCCTCCTCCTGGATGACAAACTCCTGGGCAGGCAGATAAATGGTATGTGGTGAGGCCAGGTGGCTAGCTGCTGAAGTCCACAAGAAGCAGGAAGTCCAGGCCCAAGCTCTCACCTTGTACTTGTCATAGATGGCCGCCCTCCTCTCAGGGTCGTCTGGGTGCAGCTGGGGGTCCTGTCGGGCAAGTCGCAACAGCATCCCTCGCTTCAGGTCCATCCCAAACTTGGAGCACAGGTCCTCCTTTGGGGTCTGGTGGGAAGCTATGAATAGGGCCAGGTGCTGCTGACAGGGTCCCACACCCCCCCCCACCAGCCAGCCCCATTTGGACCCTCCCCAGTAACTGGAAGCCCCCAGGCCAGAAGAGAGGAAGGAAGAACCAAGAGCAGGGAAAAGGGAACTGTCTGTGTTCCCCTGGGCCCTGGAGAGCAATGCAGCGCCAAGGGCAACACAGCACCAATGGTAACAAACTCTCCCGTGGGCAGAAAGCCCCCACTGAGGCTGCCTAGAATGGGCCATGGTCCCATTCACATTTCACTGGTGGTCCTCCACTCCGGAGACCAGTGTGCCTCAGTGAGTGCTGATCTAGCCTCCCTGTTCTGACTGGCAGTCGGACCCCTCTTGCCTTCAGGATGTAGAAGTCAAACCCATAGGCCTCATCGATAAGGTCCAGGGTTCGCATAGTCACAGTCACAGAGAACTTCGTGTCCAGAATCTCACTGTAGAGCTCACGCTGAAACAGCTGTGGCTTCCACACTTTCTTCACCCTCTTCGAGAGCTGAGAGAGCAAGAGTCCTCATGAGTTTTGCTGCTTCTCCCAACACAGCCAAGTAAGACCCAGGGTGCAGAGATTCAGACTATACACCTGGCTGCCCATCTAAACTTCTCCCCAGCCAGCTTGGCACCCCCAGACTTTGCTGAGGTTGCTAGTGTGTGTTCCAGACACACCACACACACAATCATAACTCCGAGGTTCACAGTCATCACATTCCACACCAGGGACAAAAAGACAAAGGGAGACACACCAGCGGGGAGATGTCCCTCAGAAGATTCAGCAATTCCTCCATGTTTCCCACCAAAGGCAGCAGGTGTTGAACACAGACTCAGAGACCTGCCCCCAGTGAGTGTCTCAGTCTTTTAAAATGTGATAAGGAGGTAGTAGTGCCAACCTTGTGTCAAGAGACATCTCAGAGGCGATCTTTGGCCACTCTAGGGGACAGGTAGCTGCAGAAACCCCTCCCCCACTTTCTCTCAACACACAGGCCTCCCCATCCATATACTTGATCTGGGACACAACCCCAGTGCCTCTGCGTTTGCTGTTCCCGATACGGGCCACTCTGTCTCAGGATACCCAGATGGTTTCACAAAGAATATCGTGCCCTGGAACTGAGAGAACTGTCTCCACCAGACTGTAAGCCGTGCTGGGGCTGGTTGGTGTCCCTTGTGCTTTCCAAGTACCTCCGGAGCCCAGCACGGTGTCCAAAGCAGTAAAGCCCCAGAAGTCCCCCCGAAGCCTGCCCTGTTCACCCACCTTGTCGTTGTTGACGTATCTGTGGCCCAGGATCCAGCCCTCGCCACCCCAGAGCCCCAGCTGGGACTCACGGGGATAATGAATGGGAATAGGCACGTCCTCCACGCGCTCCCGCTGCCCGTTTTTGGGGTTGATCTTGAACTTGGCCCCATGTGGCCTGTAGTGCACGGGCGTGGGTGTCCGTTCTTCCTCCAGTGAGCGAAGGTAGTGCTGAGGCAGGCGAGAGTAGATGCCTTCCCGCAGCCGGAGCTTCTTCCACAGACCGACCGGGAACTTGTGCAAGGGCATCGCGGCCAGGCTGGCGGGAAGCAAAAGATCACAGTCACGCTGTAGGCTAGCTGGTCCCCGGACTCTCACTCAGCCCCGATCCCTAAACCCGGCCTCAAACCCGCTCACTAACTCAGCTCCCCGCTCTCCCAGAGGCACCAAACCGAGACCAGTTGTACCTCTTGCAGCAATGCACCCTGCCGGAACCGGAAGTTATGCTGCACCAACGGATCTCTACCCGACACTGACTGGTTACAAATCCCGTCCGTCTACCACTATCCCGCCCACCTTCCCACCTTTAGGGACCATGGAAAAACGCCCCTCGAAGACCATGGCAGCCAAGGCACCGTCGTCAAGTGCAGCCCGTTTTCCACGAGCAGCAGCCCAGCGGGCAGAGCTTGTCATTTTTGGCCCTACTTTTTTTTTCTCCGAGAAGAAATGCAAAAAAACAATGTAAAACTTTGGCCTTAAAACATAACGGTAGAAGGAAAATTTGAGATAGTGCTCCCTGGCATTTCATTAGTTTGGCTGAAATAAACTCGTAAAAATTATACACACACACACACACACACATACACACTATAGAATGTTATATGTAATATTCTATATACTATAGAATATTAAATTCACCAATCGGTGATGTGAGAATTATGTAAAAACGTTAATGTTTTTGCTCTGGCTGGTGTGGCTCAGTGGACAGAGTGCCAGTTTGATTCCCAGTCACAGCATGTGCCTGGGTTGCAGACCAGATCCTTGGTTGGGAACCTGCAAAAGGCAACAAATCTGTGTGTCTCTCCCATATTGATGTTTCCCTTTCTCCCTTCCTTCCCTCTCTCTAAAAATAAATAAAATGTTAATGTTTTAAAAATTATTTACCCCACAACACCATATATTAATGTTTCCTCTTTATTTATTTTTTAAAATATCTTAATTTTTATTTTTAAAAAATTAAAAAAATATTTTACTTATTTTTTAGAGAGAAGAAAGGAAGAGAGGGAGAGAAACATCAATGTGTGGTTGCCACCTGCATGCCCTCTGCTTGGGACCTGGCCAGCAACCCAGGCACGTGCCCTGACTGGGAACTGAACCTGTGACCCTTTGGTTCACAGGCCGGCACTCAATCCACTGAGCCACACCAGCAAGGGCTGTTTCCCCTTTATAAGCCTAGCAAATGCTATGGTGATCACATGCAGGGTGACTGGAAATGGGGGAGACCCCTAGGGAGGGTACATTCTGGACAGGGCCCAGAAGAGAAGCCTCTGGGGCTGACCCTGGCCTCAGTGACTCTCGGCTGCCCGTGGCCCTGTTCCACATCCCTCATACAGACCACAGCCCCCTTTGCTCTTGCCTTGGGAAGAGCACTTGGGAAGGGGCAGAACATTGCTCCTCAGGGCAATCAGCCCCCTTATCCTGCTTCCCCCATAATGGAAGAAGGGCTGGGCCAGTGCAGAGTGGCAGCCATCACCTCCACTCCTGAGAACAACTCAAGAAAATGCTCCCCAGACAAGGGCCCAAGAACCCAGTGGAAGAGCGGGAACACAGAGTTGGGGCAGGGTGTGCCCTGCGTTGCTAGCACCCACAGAACAGTTCAGCAGCACCCCTTCCAGGAAGCTCTTCTCAGGGGCCTGCGCCTTCACACCTGAGAACAGAGGGAGGGAAAGGACAGGACACCACAGCCAGAAGCCAGCCTCTTCCATGCCATCACTCATGGCAGTTGGACCCTACATCCCCCAGGGCCCATCAGCTCTCTGATGGCCACAGTCACCTCTCCTCATGGCAACTTCATCGGTAGGGGGCACTCCCATGCTTGAGGTAGACCGGCATTCATTCAGGCACACAGCTGTGCCTCACTGGTATGGGAGGGTGGGTGAGAGGTGGTCCCAAGCCTCCTCTGCTTCTCTTGGTCTCATAACACAGCCTCACAGGGGAACAGGGTGATGGGGGGATATTTCTCCACATCTCCAATTGTCCCCAGGCCAGCAGAACAGAGTCTGCCCCTGAACAGTACCTGTTGTCTCCAGGTAGCCAGGCTCTGGCTCCAGGGGCCACTGCAGACACCAGCTGAGACAGCAGAGGGATGGAGTCAGCTGGCAGCCAGCAGTTACAAGGGAATTGGAGATTGTGGTCCTCTCCTCAGGAGGAAGAAACAAATGGGTGCACAAGGCAATTTTATTCAGTTGGAAATCCATCTGGACAGGGTCCCTCTCCCTTGGTCCTGCCCCTGGCTGGAGAGATGATCATCAAAGCTGCAGGTGTCCCTGAGTTGGCTGTATCATGTCACCGTGTACAGCTCCTCTCTGTGGTTCTTGCAGATCTGATAGTGGCAGGTGAGCTTCTGTGAGCAGGCCCAGGGCTCAGCGTGCTTGTCACGTGGTGGCAGCAGGAATGCCGTACTCCCCGCCAAAAGCATGTGCCAGATGCTGTGTGTGTAGTAATAGTTGTCACTGGTCATCATGGAGGTGTAAATGGCAATGGCCACAGCAGCCATGGAGATGCCGGGCAGGAGGTAGAAGACCCAGCGCTGCCATGAGGTGGGATAGCAGTGGCGCCGGTGCCCACAGCGGTACACCTGGAGAGAACCACCATGAGAGCACTGGCACGGGGCTGCAGCTATAGCTCCCAGGGACCTGCCTGAGCCTAGGTAGCAGGACCACGAATGTGTGCTACTTGGAAAGGGCTCAAGGGCACACAGACCTGACAGGTCCTCAGACCCTGGCCTTGGAATGAAGCCACACTAGGCCCTACAAGAGTTACTGGCAGCCCTCAGCCCTGGGAGGACTCAGACCCAGGACCAGGAACATGAGCAGAATCTGTGGGGAGCCAACACTTTCTTATTCCAGGTGCCAGGAGAGGGGGTCTAGGCAAGAGCTCCTTACCCACATGGTGACCATGACCACAAAGGCAAAGAGACAAGGCCCCATCATGTTCCAGGCGCCCCTGCGGTCCAGCTGCAAAGACATGGCGAACACCAGTGTGCCCAGTAGAAGCAGAACCTGAACAAGACACAGGAACAACCACAGGGTCACAGGCCAGGGTCATCTGTGATGGCACAAGTTCCAGCAGGAGCTATCACCCCAGTGCTCCCCAGCATCTCTGCTTGCCCCCTCTTGGAGCTGCTGACACCCTGTTCTGCTCTGCCAGCAGGAAGGGAGGCACCCCTCCTCTAGTTACTGATTCACCCACAGGTAAATTTCCGAGGCAGAGCTTAGACAGGTAGGGCACCGGTCACGTGTCTCCATCTGCCAGGCCCAGCTGTGGCTGAAAAAGCCCCAAAGTGTTCCCAGCACCAGGGACTCCAGAAGCACAGTTCAGGGCTTCTCAGGGCGGTGTGGCCTAGGGTTGGAGCTCCAGCCCTCCTCTTTGAAGACAGCCCCGGGAGAGAAATGGACTAGGAAGGAATTTTCCAAGGGCGGCATCTGGACCCTCCTTCTGGTCTCTCCCTCAGCAGGCAACGGCCTCTGCTCCCTCAGAACCCAGATCCACGTGTCAGATGGTCACTCACATATTTCAGGGATGCCTTCAGCCGTGCCATGCAGAGAATGGTGACCCAGATGGACACTCCAGAGCCCAGGAAGTCGCAGTACTGCAGCGTGTCATAGTTGAGGATGCACAGCACCGCCTCCCCCGGCTGGTCACAGGCATGATAGAACTGCAGGGCAGGGCAGGGCAGGGCAGGGCAGGGCGGTAAGCAGAGGCCCAGACCTCCCCACCACCCCTGTGGGAGCAGGCAAGCCTACCGTGGAGAAGAACATGGTGTAGGCATAGACGGAGGCCTCCACCAGGAGGCAGCGGTACACAGAGAGGGTGATGGGAGCCAGGAACATGAGGTTGCTGAGGGTGAGGAGGAGCGTGGCCATCCTCTGCTGGGCCATGGTCTGGGCTGTGCTGTTGTCTGTGCAGCTCCACCCACGCCAGCCTGTGGGCCAGTACAGTGCTGAGGGGGCTGAGCTGGGGAGACTGAGGCCAGGTTTGTGGGGAGGCACTTTCGAACCTCAGGGCCAACCCTCTCCCAGGGCTCTCCAGAGAAGCCCCTCTCTCCCCTAGAAGCAGGCTGGAACAGGGGTGGGGCTTGTGTGGGTAGGTATAGGCTAGTGTGGGCAGGCATAGACAGCTATGTGGCAGGCACGAGCATATTTAAAGAAGTGTGGTGCAGGTATGAGGCAGGTGCGTGAATGTGAAGGCAGGTGTGAGGAAGGTAAGGGACAGGTGTGATAGGCGTGGGATACATGTGGGTAGGTACAGAGCAGATGGTGGGTAGTGTGGGTCAGGTATCAGACATCTGTGGGCAGGGGAGGCCAAGGCCAGAAGGCATGGGGGTGCCTTTCTGTGATTGCATGGGAGACTGAAGTTACGTAGTAGGAGTGGAGAGAAGGCATTTGCCCTTGGCTCTGCGAGGGTGCTCTCCAGCCTTGGCAGAGCGGGATAGGCTCCTAAAGAAAGGCACAAGGCTGGGAAGTCAAGGACAGGAGTGTCTGCACATATGCAGGCCTGGCTCTCACCTGCCTTGCAGCTGCAGCCCGCATACAGGTAGCCATGTCTGCGCAGTAGGAGGCACTGGCCGTACGGGCCGCAGTCATTCAAGCAGGGCACCAAGTACAAGGCGGTCTCCACGAGGACTGAGGCCTTCTCACACTCCCTGAGGAAGGGGCCACGGGAGGTCTGGCTACTGAGGTCTGCTGACCAGTCCCTGCCAGGGCTCCCATCAGGATCTTGGACACATGAACCCAGTATTGAGGCCCCCAGGCTCCAAGCCCTGGAGGACAGCAGATGTGAGATCTGCAGAAGTCAAGGTGCACCTTCCACTTCACATCGTACTGCATCCCAGCCTGTCTAGGGCTGTGTCCTGAACCAGTCTCCTTCCTTGTGTCCTGGCCCCCAAGGCTGCTTGGGGAGAGGTGGCCAGGTAGAGAAGGGAGTCCTTTGTAACTCCTGGAAGACAACTTACCCTGTGCAGCTAACAGGAAGTTGGGTCACTTCCAAACTCAGATGCAGGCAGCCCAATCATAGCCCTGAATGCAATGATTCAGCCACCTGGCAGCTGTGGGTGGTTCCCATCCTAGCCCTCAAATTCTTTTTTTTTTTTTTTTTTTCTTGAGAGAGGAAGGGAGAAAGAGATGGACTTGTTGCACCTATCCATGTATTCATTGGTTGGTTCTTGTACGTGTCCTGACCAGGGATCAAACCTGCAACCTTGGTGTATCAGGCCAATACTCCAACCAACTGAGCTACCCAGGCAGGGCAGCCTCCAAGTTTACTTACTCAGGACTCTGAGGGCATGCAAGCTGCAGGGAGAGGTACCAGTTGTCTGTCTCTGGGTAGGGGATGATAAGGTTGGCCTTGCGAGACAAGGTGCTCAAAGACAATGGATAGCCCTGGAAGAAGGCTGCAGGAGGAGCAGGAGGGCCTGGTAAGAGTGGGTGGAAGGGCTGGCAGGGGTCACTTAGCCAGATGCTGCCTGCCCATACCTGTGGTACAGTTGAGCGAAGTGTTGAAGCCGAGGAAGGGTGAGGCAGCATTCACGCAGACCATTACCAAGGTGTTGTTGGAAATCACACTCTGGAAGGAGTGGCCAGGCAGTGTCAGTCCTGAGTTCCCAGCCTGGTGGTTGGTACCGTCTGTGGTTTCCGCTGCCCAGGGACTACCCGGGTACCTCCCCTCCGGGCCTGGCAACACCCAGACTCTCATCCACCCGCCGTCCCAGTTCCTTCAGCCCTCTTCCTGCTGAAGGGACCTGTAAAATAGGCCTCCTTTTCTGCAAGTGCTGCCCCTATTATGGTCCAATGCCTGTTGGGGTCATTCTGTTGCCTGAAAGGCCACCCCAACCCAGTGTCCCTGATAAAGTCAGTACAGGAAGGCCTGAGCAGCATCACTCAGTCTGTGAGCCCTAAGCTGAGCCCAGCCACAAGGCACTCACAAACTAAGGTACCTTGTTGGCCCACAGGGAGATGGTGAGGGAGCCCCCACTGTCCATGCCTGTGTTGAGCTGCAGCCGCATCACCGAAGGCATGTCTGACTGCACCAGCACGGAGACGCTGTCTAGGGGCCTGAAGTGCACAGACACCACGTCCGTGTCTTCCCGCATGACCTGGTAGTTCATGAGGCAAAAGGGGCTGCCACCCACACTGCTGTTCCTGCCCAGGTCCTGGTAGCCAGGGCTTGGGGAGAGCAGGCCAGTGGAAGTGTTGCAGCTCTGGTTTGGACTGCTCTGCAGAAGATGCTGGAAGTTTACAATCCAAGGCCTGCAGGCTGTCAGGAGGACAAGGGGCTCAGCTGGAGGAAGGGCTGGGGATCAAAGGCAGGGGCCAGAGCCAGTCCCCACTGCGCTCCCCACCTGTGAGAACAGCTATAGCGCTGAAAGCCACCAATATGTGGGGCCCTGCCAGGCTCCTGGCGGTCACTTGCAACCACCGGTCCCAGGGCGGTGAGGGCAGCAGCAGGTAGCAGGCCTGGGTGGGGCCAGTGCAGGTGAGCACCTTCTGGAAGTTGCTGGGTAAGGTAGCTGAGCCCACCGTGAGGCGCACAGGGCAGCCCAGGGTCCCATTGGACGCACAGCCCTGCAGCTCCAGCCGCAGTTCCTGGGTGTACTCGGGGACGAAGATTCTGCAGCCAAAGGGGATGGCCTCACTCAGGCTCTGTGGCTTCCAATGACCTCCCCTCATTGCTCACACTCAGGGTGGTGGCCCCATTTTCCAGCATGACCCTGAGACCCAGAATCCCACCTTTCTCACCCGCATTAAGGACAGTATTACCACCCACTCCATCAAAACCGGAGGCTGGGTCTCCCCCAAGGTCCCCACTCACTTGAGGTAGCTGGGGTGGGAGAGGAGGGTCTGTGGAAAGGGTATGTCGGGCTCCAGGATGGAGACCTCGACTACCCGCATAACCAGCATGTCAGGCTGGAAGATGTAGGCACAGGTGGGAACAAAGCCCTAGAAAGAGAATGAGAGGTGGGGGTGGGCACGCATAGGCACGGGACGGGGCAGGACCAGAGACCCCGGGCCTGGCGGGGACGGGGCGTGGAGGTAGGAGGGCTGCAGCAGAGCCTAGACAAGGTCTGCCCTGAGGAGTTAGATAAGAGGGACAGGTCATTCCTGCACGGAAGTGTCCTGCCCTCCATCCTTGCAAAGCAAATTCCTCACCTTCACCTCAATCTTCTGGGATGAGGGGGGCAGGTGAGCAGCCACAAACCAGTCCCCAGGTGCTGGGTGGGAGACGTTGATGGAAGTGTTGCTCTGAAACATCTTGACGAAGAAGGAGGGCTGCACAGAGGTGTTGGCAGGGAAGCTGGTACCCAGTGGGTTGATGACCGGAGGGGCGCCATAGCGGAAGTACCTGGAGATGGGGATGGCAGGGTGGGCATCGGATCTGGACCCTGGGCTGGGCTCAGGCAGGTGGGCAGACAGGCACCTACACAGTGATCTCCACGTTGGCACACGTGGGGCCGCCACTCTGGGACACTTGCAGCAGCCAGCGCAGCAGTACGGTGTCCGGGGGCACTTGGAAGTGGAAGAGTCTGGCGCTGCCATACCAGCTGTAGAAAGACAGCTTCTGCGGGGACTGTGAGAACTGCTCAGACACCAGCCTGATGTCTGCAGGAAGAAGGCACTGTCAGCCAGACCAGGGGTGCCCTGTGGGTGTCTGCACCTCCATGTGGGAGACAGACAGAGAAATTGAGAGTCCCTTCTGCCCCAGCATGGCCCCTGAGAGATAGGACAAGGGACGCCATGGTGGGTTTGTTAGAGCCCCTGGGATGCCCAGCACTCCAACCAGGACCTTGGCAAAGGTTACCGTACCCCTCCAGCCCCTGGCACTTGTCTCTGGCAGCTCACCCCTCTTGACAGGTGAGGGAGTTCGGGTCTGAAGGCTGCTTACCTACTCAGGGCCATGATGACTTAGGACAGAGCTGGACTGACCCTTGACTCCTCCTTACCCAGAGAGGCAGCAAGCAGAGACACTGGGGTAGAAGGGTTCCCCAGACTGAGTGCCTGGCCAGCCATAAGGACCAGGGGGCAGCTGGCCCCCATTCTCCCATGGACATGCATCTGTGCAGAATGACACGGGGACGAGGCGGGGCTCATGGCACACAGACTGCCCCTGGCCTCACCTGGGGCTCCCTGTGCCCCGCTCTCTGCAGTCATTCTCAGGCCCCCAGCTCTGTGGCCCCCGCTCCCCTCCCCCACACCCTCCAGAAATCTGCCCTCACTCCTCACTTCCTATCATACAAGAATTTCCTGGATCAGCTCTGAGGATCTTTTGGGGCTCAGCACACAGGCCTAGACCCCCACCTGGGTGAGGTGCCTCCTAGGTGAGGCCCCTCCTGGAGTGTCCACTGACTAGGGAACAGCCTCCATGAGAGGATGGGTCCAGTCCTACAATGTAATTGCTTACCCCATGAGTGGGTGAGAATGCCCACCCAGGACCCTCTCTATTGGGGCTCCCACAGAACAGGCATGCTCAGCACTTCCATGGATATACCACCGGGCCTGGGGTCTGGCCACAAGGTGCCTGAGCTGGATGGCGGGGATCCTGGCCCCAGTACCAGTTTAGGCCTCGTGCCCAGTGTGACCCTGAGTGTCCCTTCCCCCATCTCGGCCAGACTCCTGAGGTAGATAGCACCTCCCCTTGGGTGTCCCTCCCTCCAAGGTTAATGGATGTTAAAGTGCTTCTGGAAGAAATACACTTTGGACACAGCAGGGTGCAGTCTCCCTCTGCCCCGCAGGGAGAGTTGCTGGCTCACACAACCACAGCAGCAGGCTCTGGGCCCCTTCAGTGAGAGCCAGGTAAGCAGCTAAGGGAGCCAGGTGAGTAGCCTCCTGACCCTCCAATGGAGGAATCTTGAGAAAATATAACAACCCACTCACAAGCCAGTCTGAGTTCCAGAGGAGCCCAACTTGGGGGCCATGCAGAGGCAGGCTCCATGTAGCCTAGACACACTCTAGGTGTCAGCTAGCAACGAGGTCCCACTCACCAGGCTGTGGCCTGGGAAGGCTAGGAGCCACTGAACTAATACAAACTTTTCTCCTGAGAGGATAACATGACAAGAAACAAAAAAATCTAAGTGCTAGTAAGTGAGGCAGGATAGCTCCCCACCCCTACCTCAGGACTACAGGGTCTTAGAGAAACAGTCAACCAGTGAGGCATTCAGCCCCTAGAGGTAGAGCCCCAAACTGAGAGAGGCAAGGCCCTCTGGCCCCCTACCAGTCCTGGAGTACCAGCCTGAGGATACCTGGAACAGTGATGGTAGCTGTAAAGTTTCGGCAGGTGCTCAAGGTTCCCTAAGACTCAGTGGTCCCCCACTCCCAGGGCTACAAAGCCCCTCCAGTACCAACCCTAAGTTCTGCAGCTCCATCTTCTTACCCAAGGTACGTACACTGGTATCTTGGTGAACGTACCTAACCATTAACTATTAATGCATTGGTCTGAGCCAGATGCGGAAGACACATCTCTGATAGCAGGGAGCAAGGGCCACATGTACCCCTGCCCTGCCCCGCAGCACCTCCAAGGAGACAGGGTTGAGGGGAGGACAAAGAAAGTCCCTGAGCCTGTCCTGGGAACTTGAGTGAGGGCACCCTGTTCCACACCCTCCAAACTTGGACCTGCATCCATGCAGAGCCCCTGGACACCTGCAGGTCCCAGAAGCCAGGGCTACACTGCTGTCTCTCGAGCAGGTCTTGGAGATGAGGAGCTGCCCCTGGTTTTTTTAAAATTTATTAATTTTTATAGACAGAGAGAAAGAGAGAGAGAGAGAGAGATCGATTTGTTACATTTACTTATGCATTCATTGGTTGCTTCCCATATGGGCTGGGGACTGAACCTGCAACCTTGGTGTATCCAGACAATGCTTCAACGAATTGAGCTACCCAGCCAGGGCTGCTCCAGGTTTTCCATTTCTATAAACAGCCCACCAGTGACCCCCTCATCTTACCCCACCCCCTAGGATGGAGAAAATAAGGGTGGCAGTATCTAATGGAGGAACTTAATCAGGGGTCATCTCCTGGAAATCGCCTCTCATTTCAAGCTCAGAAACCAACGTCACAGTCCTCAAAGAAATAGGAGCTTGGAGGAGCAAGATTTCAGAAAAGGAGGAGGGGTTGGGAACAGAAAAATCCAGGGGAGCTAGTCCCAGATTGTGCTGGATAAACTGCCCAACTGCAGAGGGCTGGGGGGCATCTGGGCCTTTGCAGCCTCGCCACATGGCCCTCTAGGAGTCCTGTGCCATAGAAGTCAGGGGAGCTTACTTATTCAACACTCCCAAGCCCCAGGCAGAACCCAGATGGGCACCTCCTCATCTAGCCACTATCTTGGGTCGCTGAAGGTTGAGGCCTCTCAAGGGAATAGGAACGCAAAGGGAGGGAAGCAAGTTCATCAACACCACTTGATTACCCATTTCCTCAGAACCACCCCAGCCTACCAGTCTCCCCAGGGCCACCTTGAGCGCCTCCAAGATGCAAGGCCAGCTGTTGAAAGTGACAGCAGTAGACTGGTGGTCACTGTGGGAGCAGTGGAAACATGACATTCACCTGGACCCCTACTCCAGGATCTATGCAACTTTCTCCCAACTCTGTCCCTTCTCCCCGAACAGATGCCCCTGCCCTCTGTAATCACACTGCCTAACCCTTCTTTTCAGCGGCCTCGCTGCTGGAGTCCAGGCTGAGTCTCCCTGGACGCCTCCACCCCCACGTCCCACCGCGCCGGACGTGAACGCATTGGAAAGAGGAAGAGAAGAGGGAAGGCTCGCTCCAAGGGGCCGGTCTGGCCGAACCCGGCCCTGGGGACAGAGGAGGGGTCCAGCTTGTCCTTTCCACCCCGATCGTTCCCACACGCAAGGCACTGACCTGAGCCCACAACCCAGGGTGAGGACCTGGGCACTGTGCCCGCTCCAGGTGAGCGCACAGGTGCCTTCAGGTGAGTCACAATCGCAGGCCCTCCCCCACACACTGCTCCCGCCCCGCCAAGCCTGTGCCCCCGGGATGGCGTCCGTCCATCCCCGCTCGCTCACCACTCTTCCTGGTGTCACCGGGGGCGGCAGGAGGGGGCCAAGCAAGCAGCAGCAGCAACAGCGGCCCCGCCGCGCCCCCGGTCCCGGTCCCAGCCCGGCCCATGGCTCTGCGCTTGGCCCAGCGCTACACGGACCGTGTCTCCGGCCGCCCGCTCCCGCCGCCGCCCTGCCCTGCCACCGCCGCCACTACGGGCCCTGCCGCCACCCCCGCTGCCCCGGGCTCCCATCGTCTGGGCAGCTCCCAACCACCGGCGCCCCGGGCACTTCCGCCTGCGAGGCCCCGCCCCGCCGGTAGCCGGCTGGCGAGGGACCGGGGACCGCGGAGCGAGAGGCGCTGCGGGGCACTGGGGTCGGGACCCGAAGGAAAGCGAGGGCGGGGGTGTGCGACGTGGGGGCCGATGCGGAGTCGGGAGCTGTACGGGAGAAGGGGCGACGCGTGGCGGGGTGCGATGCACGGTCAGGAGCGATCCGTGCCTGTTATTAGTACCGGCTGATGCGGGGCGCCGAGCGGCGGGGCCAACCTGAGGGCGGGGGGCGGGCCGAGGCCGCGGGGAGGGCGGGTGGGCAGGCGTAGTCCTGGGCTGACCCGGAGTCTGGAGGCGTACACGAGGGGAAGGGGTCGAAGAGAGGGGTCTCGGACTGAGGGGGACGGCGCGGGAGGATCGTGTGGTGGGCGCCGCGGACCTGCGTCAGAGGCAGGAATTCGGGCAGTGAATTAGAACGCGCAGGAGATTCCAAGTGGCAGGGGCCACGCGGAGAGCCCCAAATGCTTCCTGGAGGCGCTGGGTGGTCCCACGGGACGCAAGTGTTTGTGGGTTCACTGAATCGTGGGCCAATCGAGGAGCTGCAGGCCGCGGAGGGGCGCTGGAGGAGACACCCTGCCACAGACTGGCGAGTCCTGCACCCATTTCTGCCTCGCAGGTGCTGGTGGCCCCTGCTGCGCCCCTCAGAGCTGAACTCCCTAGCTGTCGCTCCACAAAACCACCACGAGTGTGTGTAAAAAACTACAATTTAAAGATGAAAGGCTTCGTGGACATATAAGAATTGCACATTGGTGAGTGGGGCTAACTCTTCACACTTTACACAGGGATAGATTCCAAACACTAAGGATTTATGCTTAAGCATAAATAGGAAACGATGAGAGACTAGAAGAAAACTTGGGTACATTTTTTCCAGTCTTGGGGAAGGGAAGGCATTTTTTTTTTACATATGGCCCCAAACTCAGAGTTCTCCAGAGGCAAGACTGGAAAATTCAACTAGGTGAAAATCAAGTGTTTTTTAAAGAGCAAAACTACTTAGGTGAAAATACAAGCCGTAAACTGGAGAGGACATGCTCGCACCTTGTATTACAAAGGTCCAAATTTTAATAAGATTAATAATAAAGAGCTATAAAATCAATAAGAAAAAAACCCACCCTGCAATACAAAACTGAGAATATTCCTGGACAGGAAATGCAAATGAACAAGAACAGGCTCTAACCTCCCTTCTTAGAACTTGAAATTCAAAGGTAAAAAAAGCACCCAAAGAGACGCCTTTTTCTTTCACCTAACAAATCTGCAAAGATCGGAAAGTCTGATCAAACCTCAAGGGTGCGGTTATGAGCCAACAGGCATGTTTAGTGAGCCTTGGAGAAGCCTCTGGATTCTGAGTACACAGTCTTACATCAGTTATTCCACCGATGTGCATTTTCCCTATGGAGACATTTGCAGAAGGGAACCCAAATCTTGGTAATGAGGCCATGGGGCATTCGATCCCCCGATGCCCATACTGTGACTCAGACACTATCATAACAGTGTGACTGCAGAAGGAAATCAGAAATCTCTGTACTGGTTGGAAATGGTCTACCAGATTTAGCTTCAGCTCAGAAAAGGGAAGGGAAGAACAATGTTAAGAAAGGTACTGGTTTTGAAGGGAAAAATTTTTTCTAAATTTATTTGTATGTTTCAAAGGCATGGGATGACTGGAAATGCCCAGCAGCCAGGGCACAGGTTTATCCTTGAGGAGGGAACCACATGGCTAGGGATGGAATGGGGGGTGCTATACCTGTTTGTACCTTTTGAACTTTATTCTTGGTAGGAGGCAGGGAGAGGGAGGAGAAGCTGACCCACCAAGCCCAAGGCCACTTAAGGCTAGTGAAGGGGGGTAGTGGGTGGAGGTCTAGGGAGGAAGAAAGCCCAGGGACGTAGAAAATGGGAGGTGTAAAGCACAAAAGAGACCCTTTGTTCCTTTCGAATCTAGGCTGGGCCCTAGAGGTGGGGCTCCTGCTGTTCTGAATTTAAAGAGACAGAGATCAGTTCTGGTATTTGCTGAGCTGTGCTGGGGACTGTTTCATCTAGGACCCATCCTCTGCCCCAGGCTGGGTTCAGAGGCTCCCCCCCCAGCCCTCCTCACTCCAAAAGCCTCCCCTGAGTGTGCCTCCTCAGTCTGACATTCCTGTGCCCAAGTTCTCTACCAGGTAGGAGGGGAGGCAGCAGATGCCCCCCCCCCACTCCAGTGCTCCATCTAGGGGGCTGGTTAACTAGTAGATGGACAAGGAGCCCTAGACTGGAGTCCAGACACCTCTGCTAAGTAAGAGCATAAGCAATGGAAAGAACCCAAGAACCCACCTTGAGGGGCTTCATTTTCAAGATGGGAAACTGAGGCTCAGCGACTAGAAGGCTCTGCCTAGAGACTTTTGTATATACATAGTCTTGTATTCTATCTCACAGCCTACAGAAAAGTGAATTCCAACTAGACCAGGTGGTCAACTGCCAAGAATAAAATGATCAAAATGTTAAAAAGAAACTTAGAATACATAGATAGGAAAGAATATTTTAACCAAGATGGACAGAAAACTATGAAGGAAATGTTACTTATTTTACAACATTTTCAGAAATGTTATGTAACTATAAAAAGTATGAAAGTAAAAAGCATGCTAATAGTCATCAATTAAAATAATAGACAAATGGGAGAAAATATGTGCTATGCATATGATAAAGGATTAATATACTTAGGATAGAAAGGAAATTTACACATTGAAAAAAGACCCAAAAGAAAATTTGACACAGGGTATATGAAGGCAGTTTACAGAAGAAGATAAGACAAGATGCAAATGGCATGTAACATGAAATGCTGCTAAATTGCACTTGTTTTTATTTCTTGTTCAGTTACGTTTCTCCTGCCTTTTTCCCCATTGCTCACCCCTACCCCACCCCCAATTCCAGTTGATCCCCCAACTGTTTGTGTTCATGAGTCCTCCATTCGTGTTCCTTTTCTTGCCCCTTCCCCTTCTTCCCCTCTTCCACGCGTTATTCCCCTTCCCCTCCCCTTGCACTTGTTTTAATACAAAGTAAAATAAGACTGAGTCCTTATCAAAAGCAGCACAGGTAGCCTTCCCAGGATGCAGAGCCTCACACTTGGCTGGTGGGAATGTGAACCCCCAAATTTTTGAAGGTTACTGTGGCAACATTAAAATGTAATAGAAAGGTGCCCTCTTAGCACAGTAGGCAGTGCGTCAGTCTCATATCTGAAAATGTAATAGAAAGCACAAAAACCTAAGGACAGAAACAAGGGTATTGGCTGCAGAAGTGTTTGTATTACTGTCAGAGTTTCCCTAGGTATTGAGGAGGAGCAAAGGAAACTAGACACTGAGCTTCATAAAATGGGGAACATAAGCTAAAGCTTCCTTCCCCAGGGGATTACAGCACTGCTCTGCCAAGGGGAATTAATACTCCTCCCTTCCCCCATCCACTACTAGACTGTTGGGGGGCACCAGGGGAGGTGCTGGACCACAGTGGCCAGCCAGTCTGACTAAGGGGTGTAAACCCATCTAAAACCTTTGAAAGTTGAGGAAGTTGACTAGTTCTTTTGAAAAGCACCCAATCCATCCCAAACTCAAACTAATGTAATCCCAGAGGGAACAAAGAAGCTACTCCGTTGCTCATGACTTTGCACAGATGCACTTGCCTGTTCTTTCCACGGCCGTGTGGCCCCAGCCGCCATGCAACTTCACAGGCAGGCTTTGGGTTGGAGGCTGAAATGGACCACAGCTGGAAACACGCTAAGCTGGCCAGATGCTGGACCGGACTTGAAAATATTTCCACCTTTGTGCCCCAGGAGGACTGCAAGCAATCAAGAAGGTATCTGAGCCATTGTGTTCCAGGGAGAGACATCCTGCAGTCCAGGACACAGGACACAGGAGACAGATAAAGAATCAATCGCCCATCAGTAGACTGAGTGCAGGCTGCGAACCAAAGGGTTACCAGTTCAACTCCTTAGTCAGGGCACGTGCCTGGATTGCAGGCTGTGGTCCCCAGTAGGGGCCACATGAGAGGGAACCTCACATTGATGTCTCTCTCCTACTCTTTCTCCTTCCCTTTGCCTCTCTCTAAAAATAAATAAATAAAATATTTAAAAATATGTTTTAAAAAATAAAAATAAATAAAATCTTTAAAAAAAGAGTCAGTCACTCAGGACACAGTTAAAAGGATGCTAGGGCAATTCTTAGACTGCAGCGTTCATCTGATTAACCTCTTTCCTGAATTCCAAATCCCTGATCTATACTTTTTTCCTCCTTATAAAAAAGGCTAGCTTAAAAGAAAATATAAGACATTCTTTTAGGGCACATAATCTGCCTTCTTCTCAGATCGCCGGCCATCTGAATAAAGCGCTTATAAAGATTTAGTCCCTGTCTCTGCTTATTGGGCGGTGGTGACAGGCAGCATGAATGCTGGCTTTTTCAGTTTCGGTGGGATGTTGGAAACCCAGGGGCAGCTTCACTCCCCACGTGAACAAGCCGCGCCACACCACAGCGTCCTGTGAGTGGGTCCTCGGAATGCTTTCCTTGTCATCCCATGGAAGAACCTAATGCCCACTGACACCATTTGTAATTGCAGAAACTTGGGAGCTTTGTGAGGGGGATGGGTGAATAAATTATGACATATTAATATATGATGAATTTTTATGCAACTTTTACACAGGTCTATGGGTCTTCTGAAGGAATATTAATAAAGTAGGAAAATCTAATTGCTGGATAATGTGGATACATCCCATTTCCAGAACGGAACACCCTTGGACCCTCTCACTACCTCTGTGAGTGTCTGTGAGTGTGGTCCAGACGGGGTGCTGTCCGTCCGAGCAGAGGGGAGGGCTGCTGGAGGGGGGACATGAACATTTCCCCACAGACAGTCTGTGTCTGGCCACAATGAGCACTGTTATATTTGCTTTAAATAAAAATTCTAAAGGTTAACAAAAGCAGGAAAAAAACCCACTACGATTAAATTTTATCCAAATAATTGTTGGAAGAGCGACAGCACTTGGATTTCAGGGCCTCTCTACCCACCCAGGGGAGGAGGAGGAAAAAGCGCTGCCGGTGCCCTTCTGCGGCCTTGCCCCTCCCACCTGCCTCATCACTCCCTCGTCTCCCTTCCTTCCTTCCTGGTTACCACGGGCGCTGGTGCCACTGCCCTGGAGCCAGCCTTATCTCCTGCCATTTCCCTTCCAGCTCTAGGCGGGTGCTCAGCTCTGCACACATTACAGAAATGACTGAGGCCCTCGGGCACCCTGGTTGCCGCCGTACCCTACCTGTCCCTGACCCTCCCTGGGCTCCTCCTCCAGGTGCATCCTGGGTGCAAGGCTCCGTGAGGACTCCAGATCTGTCCGTTTATGGCCTCCTAATCTACAGACGCGGGGTAGCCTGTCGCCCACCCCACGGCAGCCTTGAAGGAAGGGAGGAACTGGCTCAGACCTTAATGTGGTCTGGCACGGAGGGGTGGGTGCAGAAGTCGCTTTCCCTCTTTGTCCCAGTGTCCCAATATATCAGCATAAACCAGACCAGGGTGGCCAGACATCTGGATTTCATAGGAATAGTTTTTCCAAAAGTTTAAAGAACAATATAGGGTTTCTGAATCTTTATTTTACCAAAACAAAGTTTTTCTTAGGTCCAACTAAGATCTAATATTATCATTTCATAAAGAAAAATCATTTTCAGTGGTCTCAGAATTGTTTGTGTCAATTGGTCACTTAAGTAAAGACTGGTTAATGATTATGATACACAGTAAAATCTTCAGAAGGAAAGAGAATGCTTTGTGGACCACTTATTGGTGTTTTTTGTATGTGGCAGTTTCTAAGTTATTAGTTGTTTTTTTTAAAGATTTTATTTATTTATCTGTAGAGGGGAAGGGAAGGAGAGAGGGAGAGAAACATCAATGTATGGTTGCCTTCGTGCATCCCCTGCTGGGAACTGGCCTGCAACCCGCTATGTGCCCTGACTGGGATTCGAACTGCGATTGTCTGGTTCGCAGGCCTGAGAAGTTATTAGTTTTTAAAATCAGTTTTTTATAAGTATATATTTTAAAGATTTTATTTATTTTTAGAGAGGGGGAGAGGAGAGGAAAAAAATCGACATATGGTTGCCTCTCAAGCGCCCCCTACTGGGCACCTGGTCCAGCACCCCAGGCGTGTGCCCTGAGCTGGAATTGAATAGGCGGTTTGCAGACTGGCATTCAGTCCACTGAGCCACACTAGCCAGGGCTAAAATCAGTACTTAAAAAAAAAAAATTCTTTCCCCCACATCTAAAATCAGTACTTTTTAATGGGAACAACTTGACAAAAAAATCTGTCACAGAATTTTGAGACCCATTCAAACAAAGTTCAATGAGGAAAAAAAAAGTAATTTTCCAACCAAAAGTAGGAAGTACATATTCTTAGACTTATGCTTAAATGAAGGTTTGTTTTGTCTTGTCTTTTGAAGTTCAGCATGTAGGTCTTATCCCCATTTGATCTGGGCACTTGTGTACCAGAAGTTGAAGGGCACAGATGGTGCTCACAGGGCTCTTGGCCTACATGGAACTGGGAATAAGGTCCAGCCACGCGAGAGCATGGTGACCAGAGCAAATTCCTGGTCCCCTTCCAAGGGGGCACAGCAGAGGTTGATGAGGCAGAAAATGGCTGCCAGAGCGGGAGGCCCCAAGAATTATGCTCTCATTTGATGGCTCCCTTGGGACCTGGGCTGGCAGGTGGGAGTGAGGCTATCCGGGCCCCTCCTCCTAGAGAAAGCAGCCCACCTTTCCTGGCTTCTCCCTTCAGTGACCTGAAAAGGGGTGAAAAGACGTCTAACATGTCTAAATTAGAGTCCGGGGGGAAGGATTGAGGCTGGGAGGTGGGAAAATGGAAACAACTGTACTTGAACAACAATTTAAAAAATGCAAAAAAAAAAAAATTAGAGTCCAAAAGAGGACAGGAAAGAGGGGAGGCAGAAAAATTACGTGAAGAAATAATAGATAAACAGTCTCAAATCTGGTGACAGACATTAATTTACAGACTCAAGCGGCTCAGTGAAGCCTCAGAAGAATCAACACGAAGAACAGATGCAGGCACATCACAACCAAGTACTGAAAACCAAACGTGAAAAGATTAAAAGCAGCCAGAGAAAAAATGACATTCAAGGGAACGACAATTTTTATGACTTACGACTTCTCATCAGAAACCACAGAGGTCAGAAGACAGTGAAATGTCATCTTTATAGGGTTGGAAAAAAGAAAAAACTCCTGTCCACCCATAAGTGTATATCTAGCAGAAAACATTCTTTAAGAATGAAGACAGCCATGGTTCAGTTGGTTAGAGCCTCATCCTGATATACTGAGGCTGTGGGTTCAAGCCCATATCAGGGCACATAAAAGAATCAACAAATGAAGGCTTCAAGAAGTGGAACAACAGACACTGACTACTTGCTCCTGGTCCATGAAGTTTTCCTTTTCTCTGCTTTCAGGCCCTCCAACCATGCTCCGTCAGATCATGAGTCAGGCCAAGAAGCATCCAGGCTTAGTCTCCCTCTTTGTATTTATTGGAGCCGGGGTGCTGGGGCAGTGCGGTATGTCACGGGCCTGGCCTTGTTCCATCCAGATGTCTGTGGGGACAAAAAGGATAACCTGGAACTCTAGAACAAGCTGGGTCCCAACGAGCAAGATAAGTTCTACTCAGTGAGTGTAGATGACAGCAAACTGAAGAAAGGTCCAGCGTGCTAAATGAAATGCTTCAGTATAAAGCTGCTGAAGATGAAGGTCTGCGCAGTTTTCCATTTAATCCTCTGAATGCACGAAATCGTGTCGGTGTATTCTGTTGGGGTTTACACCGACTAGTAAAGGTTTGAAACTTGGAGAAAAAAAAAGAGTGGAACAACAAATTGTTTCTGGTGTCTCTCCCTCTCCTTCCCTTTCTCTCTCTTTAAAATATCAATTTAAAAAAAATTGAAGCGTGGAAACAGTTTTAGATAAAAGAAAACCAAGAGGGTGTTGCCAGCCAATTTGAATAACAAAAAATGCTAACAAGATAAATCTTACAGCCCTGGCTGGTGTAGCTCAGTGGATTGAGCGCAGGCCTGCAAAGCAAAGGGTCGCCCTGGTTCAATTCCCGGTCAGGGCACCTGCCTGGGTTGCGGACCAGGTCCCCAGTAGGGGACACATGAGAGGCAACCACACATTGATGTTTCTCTCCCACTCTTTCTCCTTCCTGTCCCTGCTCCCTAAAAATAAATAAATTAAATTTAAAAAAAGATAAATCTTACATTATCTTAACAAAGAGACACACAATAATGAAGAGGGTGGGCGAAAACTTCTGGAGATGCGTATGTTTATGGCATATGCTGTCACGATGATTTTACAGTTATATACTTGTCTCCAAACTCACCAAGTCATACACATGAAATATATACAGCTCTTTGTCAATATTTAACGACTCCGTTGGTGTGAAAATGAATATAACCTATGTTACGTTCATATTATTATTTATATATTTTCTTCTGACTTTAACAGAAATTGACATACTCTTCCATGAGCCCTGCAAGGTTTGAACGGTGGGGGTTGGGGACGCAGGAGGTGGGATTGGGGTGGGGTTGGGTAGGGGAAGGGGCGGGGGTAGATGGGGAGTTGGCCACCACTTCCAGTGGTCTGCCCACCCTCCCTTCCTTCTCCTCTCCATCTCTCCCTCCGCCCCTCCACTCCTTCTTCCTCCATCCCTTTGCCCCTCCTCCTTTTCTTCCCTCCCTTGAAGCTTTAGAGTCCCGCTCGCGCCTCCAGCTTTCAGGCTGCGCCCGCAGGGCGGGCGCCATGACGGGCATCTTAGGGCGCGTATCGCTGTGCAGGCTGTTGTGCAGCCTGCGGACTCGGGTCCCCAGTCTACTAGTGCGCCCCAGCTCAGGTGAGTCATCAGAGGGGGTTGGTGGGAGGCGCTTCTCAGCCTAGGTTAGCACTTGTGCTGAATGGGCAGCCTGGGGGGTGGGGCAGTGGGCCAGAGCCCAGTAGCGTAGCCCTCCTGACTCGCTGGGAAGCCTTGGGGCCCTGCGGGTCGAGGACCGGCGCGAGGAGATCTGGCTGTATGGGAAGGTGCATTGGGAGCAGAGCTCTCCGGGGTACAAGCCCGGGGCCAGCGTCCCACACACCTCCGCACCTTTGCCCTCCAACCCCGCAAGCCTCCTCCCCAGGTTGCCTCGGGGCAGGACTGGGAGCTCTGGAGCTGGAGGAAGCCAGAGGCGTAGTGGCCACATTGGGTAATGATGAAGGTCCCTGCTGACGTGGGGCTCCCTGAGCGGGGAGTCAATTTTCAGCAAATGAAAACCCCTCCCACGGAAACTGTCTTGGGGGCGTTTTCTCCAGGCCCTAAGTCTTCCTTGGCCGAACCTATTCGGGGCTCTGGAGTTCCTGTCTGTAACCGGTCCTCCACCCTAGCTGGGAGCCAGATGTGATGGTGTTCCCAACACTGGGAAGAGTGAATTGCCATCTTCCAAAGCCAGGTTAAACAGGAGTCCCCTAGGCACTGGGTTTGGGGAGACCAAACAAGCCAGGGTCTTCCCCCAGAGGGCCTCGTTCAACCCTGAAGGGATGTGGTGATCACCCACAGCACAGGTTTTGGTTAATTCTCCTCCTGGGGATGAGGAAAGGCAGCTGCAGATGCCCCAGGGACACTGGCCAGCCTCAACCCTACTCTCCTTTCTCCACCAGTTCTCTATTTAAAGGACTTTGCCAGACACCCAGGGTCTGGGCTCTTAAAATTTGACCGTGGATTCCATGCTGAGGGTTTGCGGAACTCTAGAAGTGGCCTGGGGCTGTTGGATGGTGTTGCAGCCTCTGGTCTCCTTGGCTGTTGTGGGGAGAGCTCAGTGCCCTCTCCCTGGGTCTGGAGCTGCTTGTCTTGAAATTCCACAGTGGTATAGAGTTCCTGCCTGGCCAATAGGTGTAAGAGGAGAAGCCCTGCAGATTCCCTTTTGTCCTGGTGTCCATGGCCTACCTGGTGGGGGGGATATACCACACTTCTCCCTGGTTGCCTGCTATTCCTTCACCTTAGACCCAGAAGGTAGGCTCAGGGTTCCTGGTGATATGGCAGGTGGAGGTTCAGGCAGTGTCTGTGCCATCACCCCCAAGGACAGGAGTCAAAAGGGAAGCCAAGAGTCATGCTTTCTTTCCAATGTGGCATCTCTGTGCCTTCCTGGGCCTCCGGGCTCTCTAAGATGCTTTCTCAGGGTATACCAGCTCCATCATGAGCAGCGCTTCTGTTCCTGCCTAGGAGGAGCCATAGTCCCTCGGACAGGTTGGAAGCCCCCAGGAATCCAGTGCCCTGGTTGTCACTGACAAGCAGCACCATACTGGGCAGTTCCTGCCATGGGCACCTCACTTCCCAGAGCTGCTCTGCTGAAGGCAGACACTGAAGCCCAGATGATGTTTGGGTCCTGGCAGGGGAACAGAGGTGGGATGTGAAAGGGTGAGGCAGCATCCTTGACCCCTCCTCTTCTAAAGGAGGGCCCTCCTGGACCCGGGAGCAGACCCTGGTGGCCGTGAAGCCAGATGGGGTGCAGCGGCGGCTTGTTGGGGATGTGATCCGGCGTTTTGAGAGGAGGGGCTTCAAGCTGGTGGGGATGAAGATGCTTCAGGTAACGGGCCTGTGGGTGTCCCTCAGGGTGCTAGGGGTAGGGCTTCTCACAGATCTCAGGACCTGAGCCCTTCATGTCGCAGCCCTGCTTCAGGAGGAGTGTCCTGTTGTTAGAAGTAGAAAGGGAGGGATGGAGAGGTGGTATCTGTCCTGCACCGCTGTGGTTGGCATACCAGCCCATGTGGGTGTTTTCTGCAAAGTCACTGCCCCAGTGCCCAGTGAGGTTGCCTCTCCAGAGGCTGCTTTCATTCTTTCCCCCAACACTGTCCAGGCTCCAGAGAGCGTCCTTGCTGAGCACTATTGTGACCTTCGGAGGAAGCCCTTCTACCCAGCCCTCATCAGCTACATGAGCTCCGGCCCTGTGGTGGCCATGGTATGGCCTGGTGGAGGGGATGGAGGGAGTACCCTGGACTGAGCCCAGCGCTGCCGAGCCCTTGGTGATCCCCACTTTTCCCAACCTTTATCTCTGTGCTGCAGGTCTGGGAAGGCCCCAATGTGGTCTGCACCTCAAGGGCTATGATAGGACACACTGACTCAGCTGAGGCTGCCCCTGGCACCATTCGAGGAGACTTCAGCTTCCACATTACCAGGTACAGGAGCTCTGACACATTCAGCCACAAGCTTATTGTCTTGCTGGATGAAAGTAAATCTAAAAGAGGCTTGTGATGGTGGGACATCGACCTATTTGCTAGTTTGCGGGAGATAAAGCATTCATTCCTTGTGTTGTGTGAGTACTCTGCCATCACTGTCGTTATCTGACTGTATGCTGCCAGATACCCCGGGGGAGGGCTGGCTGGTGGGAAAATGAGGCTCCCAGTAAGTCTGGGCTGGTCCACGAGGTTGTGGGTAACAGGCCAAGGCCAGGCTGGAAGCTGGTTTCCTAGCTCCCCCTCCCTTTCCCCTCTGCATAATCACCCGTCTTAGTCCTCTGGACAGGAGGGAATCGGCAGACCATTCTCAGGTCACCCAAGGTACATGTCGAAGCCTATACCTTACCTCTGCTACCTATCACCTGGCACAGGAACGTCATCCATGCCAGCAATTCTGTGGAGGAGGCCCAGAGGGAGATCCGGCTGTGGTTCCAGAGCAATGAGCTGGTGGACTGGGCAGACGAAGCCTATTGCAGCAGCCTCTACCCAGCCTGAGCCTCAGGATGCCCTCAGCTGCCCCAGCATCCACTCGGGACCAACTACCTCTGTCCAGAAGAACTTGAGCCCACCCTTGTGCTCTGCCTGTGTGTCTCAGACCACTTCCCTGTTTACCTTCCACCCCAGGCCAGATCAGCTGAGCCAACTTTACGTGCCTTTTGTATTCTGAGCCAGTAAGAGATTGGATCAAATCCTTTCTACACCACAATGCTAGACCACCTTTGGGGTGTCTCCAAAAATGGGTACTTTAACCTCCACTCCCCCAAAGGGAAGACATTAAAATTCACTGTGCTGTGCATGGGGGTGGAGTGCTTATTAAGACTGGGTACGGATGAGGCCTTTATGCAAAGGCCTTGTAAGCCGTTTGAGACTGGAGATGAAGCTTACCATCTCATAAACCCATAGGGGCTCAATAACTGTTGAACGTATGACTTTGGCAGAGGTCCCGAGACCTCCAACTTGAAATTTAGGGGAATCCAACCTGGGCCCTGAAGTTGGTGCTGTCCCCACCCTCAACTGGTCTGATTCTGCTGGAGGAGCCACCTGCTTTGGGCAGGAAGGAGTGACCAAGACCACCCTTAGGGCAAAGAGCCTGCTAACCATGGCCTTCCCCCTCTTCATGTCTTCCTGTGGCTGCCTGGTGTCCACCTGCTTTCATGTTGGCACTACATCTCACCCCTCGCTCCTGGTCCCCAGGTGTCCCTACTTACTTGTGACAGGTACTGGACACTGCACATCATTACACCTCCTGAGACTGACTTGATCCTTGTTTTATTTTTGTTTTCTTGACGATGGTTGCCCTGGTCCATGCCCTGATGTTTATCACTCTCTAAATGGGTCATTTTGGGAAATGGCACTGGGGCTGGACAAATGAAGCAAAGGCCTTTCTGTTTTCCACAGTTTTCCTGTGCTGGAGTCTCCTTACCTCCTTCTTTCTGATATTTATGCAACAAGAGGGAGGTGTCTGGGAGGTGAGGGTATATACATGGTGAACATTTCCCACAGCATTACTCAAACCAGGTGATTTGTTTTTTTTTAAAGGTTTCATTTATTCTTTAGAGAGGGGAAGGGAGGGAAACATAGATCAGTTGCCACTCCCATGCCCCAAACGGGAGACCCAGCCCACAACCGAGGCATGTGCTCTGACTGGGAATCAAACTAGCAACCCTACGGTTTGCAGGGCAGCACTCAATCCACTAAGCCACACTAGCCAGGGCCTATTTTATTAATTCATTTTTTTTAGAGAGAAGGGAGGAAGGGAGAGAAACATGTATAAGCTGCCTCTGCACACGCCCTGACCAGAATTCCAACCAGCGACCTTTTGCTTTGCCTGACTCCTGCCCAATCAACCGAGCCACATATGTCAGGGCAGCAGGTGTTCTAAATGCACAGCTGAGCCAGCAGCGGTGTGAGAGCCCAGCGGCTCTGCTGCCGGCCGCTACCCTGACCTTAACCCGGGAACCGAGTGTCTGCTGTGTCCAGCTGGTTCCAACCACGGCACCCAATCCTGTGGGAAGGACTTAGTCTCGTGTACAGTTTCTAGGACCGCGCACCTGGCAGCCACGGAAATCCGCCTGCAGAACTGCTGGTTCGGGAGCAGACCAACCAGCCGCGAGTCTCAGCAGGCCTTGCGGCCGCAGTGCGCAAAACATCCTGAAAGACGCGAGGAGGCCCCTGTGGGTGGGGCTAGCGGGGTGGTGGAGCAGGGCAACCGGAGCAGCTCGGAGGCAGCTGTGGGTGGGGCGTCCTGGGAGGAGCTGGGGCCTCTCCGGCCCCGGGCGGGGTGGGGAGGCGGCGAATGGGCGGGTTTTCCGCAAAACCCGGGCTCGGTGGGTGGCGGAGGTGACCTCACTAGAACGCTGCTAGCCCTGGTGGTGAGAGATTAGTACTCTGATCCTAAGCAGGTTCTTGTTGTCCTCGCCGCCGCGGGTCTGTGTCGAGCTCCACATGGCCCAGCCGCCGCCCGATGTCGATGAGGACGACTGTCTTCCTGAGTACCACCACTTCTTTTGCCCGGATCTGCTCCGGTGAGGGCCGAGTCCCGGCCTCTGTTCCGGGCGTCTCGAGAAGCGGTGTCAGGAACTGGGGGTGGCTGGGAGCGAGGCCGGACACTGGAGGAGCCCGGAGAGTGGGACCCGGGGTTCGGCATGCCCAAGTACTCCTACATTTTGATCTTTGCCCTGTTGAGAGCATGTTTTGTTCGTCTTGGCCAGTGCTGGTAATTCCTAATGGTATTCTGGAGGGTGGCAGTGAGGGGCAGGCAGAGAGCAAGGCTTGTACGTTTTGAAAACATTTACTCACATAATTGACAACTTTATGAACAGAGAATTTTAGGCTGAAATAGGATTTTCCAAAGACCCAGAAAGCCTAGGAATGCAGCACAGAAATCATTCACTTTCCTTGTTTAAATTTGATAAGAGCTGACTAGTTCATAGGGTTAAAGTTCTTCCAGAGCCGCAGCTTTCCCGTACTTTTCAGTTACCAAGGAAATCTATAAAGAGCCTCTTGTTTTCTTCCTCCAGGGACAAAGTTGCCTTCATCACAGGTGGTGGCTCTGGAATAGGGTTCCGAATTGCTGAGATTTTTATGCGGTGAGCACTGTTCTGTTTGCTCTGTCCCCTTATCCCACCCCAGCCCCACTACTGATTCTCACACCTCCCAGCTGGATCTTGGGATTCCTGGGCAAGATGCTGGTGGGGGTGGGAACCCCTCTAGGCAATGAACCATAGGAGAGCATCTGAAATGGGTCTAGTGCTGTCCCAGGGGAGGCAGGACTCTAGGCCCCTCTTCTAGAGGTTAGTGGGGACTGTGTGGCTCTGGTATCAGCACTCTCATTTATACAAAGGCGGGGTTCAACAGGTCGAGGTAAGTCTGTTGCAGAGGCCCCTGGGGCCTCGCTTAGCCAGGGCCATGGAGGGCCCTGCTGGACACAGAGCACAATGTCTATTGAGCTACAAGTTCTGTGGCCTTGGGCCCAGGTCAGCAACTTGTCACCCCAGTCCAGAGTTAGGCTGCAGCTGGGGGAGAGGAATCCTGTTGACATCCGTGGGACCCTCTCCGGTTTCTCTTGGACCCCTTTCTTTCATACCAGAGGAGTAAGTCCTGCTGGGTAAGATTTTGGGATTCATTCTTTATGTGTGAATTTGTTTTCCTAGCTGGTAGCTTCAGGCATGTTGCTTCTCTGAACAGAGCATAGCTAGTTGGTCAGGGTCATTTAGAGGAGCAGGTAGAACCTGCTGAGCAGGTAATAGCTGCAGTTGTCACCACTACCATAGCGAGGCTGGGTTTGTCAGGAGGTAAGGCAAGGCAGGTGCCCCTGGCGTCAGAATGGGCTCTCTGTCCTTCTCTCCGACATCAAAGGGAGAGAGGGCAGGGGCATATGTGGCTGTGCTGGGGGCCCCAGCAGGCCCCATACCAATCAATGTCTGGGCCCCAGCTGATGCTCACAGCTGCTTCGGTGCTATGCACATGGCGTTTGGGGCAGGTCCCATATCCTGGTACCAGAAAGGCTCTCCCAGAAACCCTGGGGGTGGGACTTATGGCACTCACCTGAAGTCCCACCATAGTGGCTCAGCCCTGCTTAGACCCCTGTGTCCTCTGCCAGCTGTACCTTTAGTCTCAGGTCAGGTGCTTCAGCCTGAGAGACCCTTGGGGGACGGGAGCTCTGCTTAGAGCTCTGGTCAGGAGCCCACCTAAGTGTGTCCCTTGCGCCTTGCCATCCTCATTCCTGCCCTCTGGATTTGCAGGCACGGCTGCCACACAGTCATCGCCAGCAGAAGCCTTCCGAGACTGTTGATGGTGAGGGGGTTTCTCCTGTGCCCACCCCATCCATGAGTGGCTGTGGAGACCCAGAGCCTGGGCCTGGAGGGTCCTGAGGCCCAGAGGATGTCGACACCAAAATCTGCTCCTCTTCCAAATTTTGAGCTTCAGTGGAAGTTGCCTCCTACGGACACCCCAGGATTTTTTTAAAATCTAAATATTGTGCCCTGTGAGGGACTGTCATGTTGAGTGGTACTGCCACCAAGAGAGATCTCTGAGAGCACCTGGGTTATAATAGTCGTCCACATGTCCCACATACCCAGGAGGAGAGTCTCACCACTGCCACAGTGGGTCTCTGGGCAGGGACTGGAAGCCAACTAGATTGTCCCGGAAGGTGATGTGGAGGGAGGAAATGGGCCCGTGGTGGAGGAGAGAGGTCCAATGTCTTAGAAATGTCCACTGGGGCAGCGGACCCAGGGAATTGCTGCACACCAGCTGCACCTCCCAGGACTGGAGTCCAGCAACAAACCCTAGCTTCCCAGCAGAACCTGTACACATACTCCTCGGATTCTTTTCTTTTTTTTAAAGAGAGCGGAAAAGATAGCGTGAACATTGATTTGCTGTTCTGCATATATATGCATTTATTGGTTGCTTCTTATACGTGCCCTGACCAGAGATTGAATGCGCAACCTCAGCGTATCAGGACGATACTCTGACCAACTGAGCTGCTTGGCGGGGCCCTTCTCATGTTCTGAAGGGTTGTTCCCTCCAGGCTGAGGCCACTTGGCCACTGCCCACCTCTTCTTTCTCTTCCTGTCTGGCTTCTAGGCTGCCAAAAAGCTGTCTGCTGCCACTGGCCAGCGGTGTCTCCCTTTATCTCTAGACGTTCGCGCTCCTCCAGCCATCATGACTGCTGTGGACCAGGCCCTGAAGGAGTTTGGGAAAATTGACATTCTCATAAACTGTGAGTCACTTCAAGTGAGGAGAGGGGTTTTCTGATGAGTCAGCAATCCCAGACCCTCCATCTTGGAGATCGCAGAACTTCTGTCCCAGGCTCCAGGCCACCGTCTCAGCCCAACTCTGCTCCTTCTGAGTCATTGCACTGTACACTTGGCTAAATCCGAGTCAGGGGCACTCTCAAGCCTTCTTCCCTGCCCACCTGGGACCACCCTGATGTCAGTCTGCTCTAACTTCCCAGGGCTCTAGCACCATTCATGTCTCCTTCCACCTTGCAGGTGCGGCTGGTAACTTCCTGTGCCCAGCCAGTGCATTGTCCTTCAATGCCTTCAAGACTGTGATGGACATCGACACCTTGGGCACATTCAATGTGTCTCATGTGCTTTATGAGAAGTTCTTCCGGGTGAGGGTTCTCTTGGCTGGGGCCTCCCCTCTTCTGGCATTCTGCTCACTGACACCCCTATCACATTATGTGTTACAGGATCATGGAGGAGTAATTGTGAATATCACAGCTACCTTGGGTACCCGTGGGCAGGTGCTCCAGTTGCATGCAGGCTCTGCCAAGGCGGCCGTGGGTATAGC